AATATTTTTGTATCGTCTGCGTAGAAAGCTTTCCTAGATATGATATAAGAATCAAGATCACTAGCATACAACAAAAATAATAGTGGACCCAAAACAGATCCTTGTGGCGCACCACTTAAAACTGGTTTTTTAGATGACAGCGATTTGCCAACTCTAACACAAAACTCCCGATTTGTTAAAAAATCATTAATCCACTCAAGAAGTTGTCCGCGAATGCCAAAGTGTTCTAGTTTATACATCAATTTTCTTCTTGGTACCCGATCAAATGCTTTTGCAAAGTCTAAATGTATAACATCTATAGGTCGTTTTTTATCCAATGCTGTTGTCCATTCATTAACACACCACAGTAAATTAGTAAAGGTTGATCAACTTTTCACAAATCCATGTTGTTATAGAGGAATAATTTTTTCTCGAAGCAAAAATTCTGAAAGTGACTCTGTGATAATTGATTACATAACTTTACAAATAACAGGTGTAAGGCTTATTGGTCTAAAATTACTGGAATCTAACTCATTTCCTTTTTTAAATATAGGTATCACCGAGGCACTCTTCCAAATTCGAGGAAAAGAGTGTCCATTAAAAGATGAACGCATTATTAGTGATAGTGGAATAGAGAGGACATCTAAACATTTTTTCAAAAATAATGTAGAAATTTTATCGGGCCCTGGAGATGAGTTGTTTTTTAATTTGTCAATATGGCGCTTAATGATTTCAGGTAAAAAATCGATGTAATCAATTTTGGGAATAACCCTTGAATGACTGATTATAGGAAACTGATTTTAAGACAGTTCAATAGCAAAGACTTTAGAAAATGTATCTGCAAGAATTAGCGACCTCATACGTGTTCTGACAAATCGTTTCATCGTTCTTTTTTAACAATGGAACGGATAATTTAGAAGACATAGCAGACCTAACATATTTGCACAGTTTTTTAGAGTCGTTGCAACTTACAATAGATTCTTCATATGCCATTCTGGCTTCATTGATATACTTTTTTTTAGTATTACTGTGAAGTTTTTGTAAGTTTGTAAATCATGTGTATCACCTGTACGTTTAAATTTTTGCCATAATTTTCTTTTGTGTCTTATAAGTGATATCAATAATTCACCGTTTATCCACGGCTTACAATATCGGTACGAACACTTAGGTATATTTTTTGTAATTCATTGGCAGACCATAATCATTTTCCTTGCTAACGAGTTTGAAGTTCATAAAGTAAGTCCCAAACTTCATCATTCCATGATAAAAAGCATAAATGAAGCTTTCTTAAATGTCGTCAAGTGTAATTTACAAATTCTTGCCCCCTTATTTTTTGGCCGAAAAATAGCGCCTTCTAGCCGGTTTCACTTCTCTCTTAAAATATAATAGAGATGTTAACATCTATGTCATTTAATAGAACTCTGTGCATACTTCCATATGCATATAATTTTCAGTGCACCAGGAATTTGAACGATAGAAAAACTATAATAAAACGTTTAATATTATTTATTTTTACAAGTACCTACTATAAGAAACTCAATATTTAAAAATATATAATTTCCAAAGTAACCAATTGTAATATAAAAAGAAGATTCAACAATTTCTCAGTTAAGTTTATTATGGTACAACCCATAGATTAAATATATATATATATATATATATATATATATATATATAATATATATATATATATAAGAAAAAAGAAGTACTTGTGACTCGTTTGGAAAAAATATAACACTGTTTTTGATGGGTTGGAGTCAATAAAAGGGCTATTTGTTATTAATTATTGTTTAATATATGTTATATTTAATTCTTTGTCTACGATTAAATTCATTAAATGTGTGGAAATTTAAAATATTATAAGCCTTGGTACGTAATTCATGTAATTTTCTTTCAAAAAAGTTAATATCAGCAAAAGTAATCTTAATTGACATATATAATAATAACACAGAATTTCATAAAATTAAAAAAATACAAATTAATAAGTTCAATAAATTAAAAATAGAAGCTTTCGATAAGATAAAATTTCAAGAAAAATGGTTTAAGAATCTAACATCTATTCAGTTTCCTTTTGAAATTAAAAAATTTTTAGCATTAGGACCTAAATTTTCTTTATGTCCTTCCAAATCTGATATTAGAGTTCCTAATTTACTTTCTGATATTGAATCAATAATCAGACCACTTAATGATAATCAAAAGGATGTTGTTAGATCTAAATGTACAAACGTCATTCAAACTTTTTACATAAAGAAGTCAAAGATCATTTTTTAAATAAATACTATTTACAAACTAAACTTTTTCTTAAAAACCATCCTGAAATTTATATTGTCAAAAGCGATAAAGGTAACGTAACTGTTGTAATGTATAAAGAGGATTACCTACAAAAAACTGGAGAACTCCTAAATGATACACTATATAAAGTGTAGTATTACACTACACTTAGAAGGAGTCCTGTTTGTACTTTACAACAAAAAGCAAATTGTCTGGTATCAAAATTAAACAGTAAGAAATTTATTGATAATAAAAAAGCAAAAGAACTCAAAATTTATAATTCTATTGCACCACGGTTTTATGCTCTACCTAAAATACATAAACCAACTTTATCTATGAGACCAATTGTTTCATCTCTATGCCCTCCAAATGGACCAATAGCACAGCTCCTCACTGACATCTTAACCAATGCTTATAATTTAAACAACAATTTTTACATAAAAGATTCATTTGATTTTAGTTCTTTCATTAATAATTTCCAATTACCACAAAATTATGTTTTAGTTAGTTTTGATGTAACATCTCTTTTTACTAATTTACCTTTAAATTTAATCATAAGTAGTGTTGAAAAACATTGGAATGAGATTTCGCAACATACTAATATTGACTTATTACACTTTAAAACACTCATCAACTTTGTTTTTGATTCTAATATTTTTATATTTAATGGTGTTTTTTATAAACAAATTTTTGGTAGCCCTATGGGATCTAGTCTTTCACCCATTCTAAGTAGCTATGTCATGGATGATGTTATTAGTGATTGTATCAATAATTGCACTTTTTTCATTCCATTTATCAAAAGATATGTAGATGATCTAGTTTTGGCACTTCCTAAACACAAAATTCTTGAAACAGTCAACATTTTCAACAATCATAATCAACATATACAATTTACAGTTGAGGAAGAGGTAGATAATTCTCTACCATTCCTTGACATGAGAATTGTAAGAAATACAGACAATATGTTGAAAACTAGATGGTTCAGAAAACCCATATGTAGTAATAGATTTATAAGCTATTACTCTAATCATCCAAATAAAATGAAAATGAACCTTATAACAGGATTAAAGGAACGTGTTTTAAAACTTTCTCATCCAGACTACCTACAAGAAGATCTTCATTTGTTAAAAAATATTTTAATTGAAAACTCTTATCCTCCTGATATGCTACATAGGATGCTTTTTTCTAATTTATTAAATATAAATAACTTAACACCATTTTTTGCTAAATCTCAAAACACTGTATCCAACAATCAAAACATATATTATCATTCACTACCTTTTATACCATCATTAACTCCTAAATTAATACAAACATTAAAGGTTATCGACAATATAAAAATAGCAACAAAGAACATCAAAACTATTTCATCTTTATATTCCCAAACTAAATATCCTATAGACAAATTAGATCAAACAAATGTAGTATACAGCATTGTTTGTACTCAGTGTGAAGCTGAGTATATTGGTGAGACTGGAAGAAATCTCTCAAATCGCATTATTTCTCACAAGAGTGATTGTAGAATTAAGAAACCATCTTGTGCTTTGGCAGAGCATGTAATAGACAAAGACCATATTATGGATTTTGATAATATTAAAATTTTATGTAATGAAAGTAATAAATTTAAAAGAACTTTTTTGGAAATGGTTTGTATTAGCAAAAGTGATAATAATTTAAACAAAAGGTCAGAAATTCAAAATTTAAGCAAAATTTATAATTATATAATTTCTATTTAATTTATGCAGTCAGTAAAATATCACATTTTGAATTTTGCATGTATTTGTTACATTTTTTCGGGCATCTATCAATGGTGAATAAATCTTCTTCTTTTTTGTTACTAAACAAAGAAGAATTTTTTAAACAAAATTTTATTTTTGACAATATGTCAAAAATAAAAATTTTTAAGTTAGTATTTATGACATTTTAGGCTGGTTGTAGCTATTCTATTTTTGTTTATAAATTCAATTTTTTTCTTAAGAAACTTCATCTAAATTTTACAGAGAAACATTTATTAGAATAAGACATTTTTTTATTAATATTTTTTGTATTTATTATGTAAGCAGTAGTTTTATATAAAAAACTAATTTTATTTGGTGAGTTAACAAAAAAATTTTTTATTTCTAGTTCAACTTTATAAGACATTTTGTATTTTTTAGAAGCTCTTGATAAAAATTGTAATCACAATTGAAAGCTCGAGTAAAAAATAGTCAACAAATAGCCCCTTTTATTGACTCCAACCCATCAAAAACAGTGTTATATATATTATATATATATATATGTATATATACATATATATATATATATATATATATATATATATATATATATAAATATTATATATATATATATACATATATATATATATATATATATATATATATATATATATATATATATATATATATATATATATATATATATATATATATATATATATATATATATATATATATATATATATATATATATATATATATATATATATATATATATATATATATATATATATATATATATATATATATATATATATATATATATATATATATATATATATATATATATATATATATATATATATACGTACAACCAACGAATATAGACGCATTGAATAAATTACATTATTCGTTGGTGCAACTGCAACCCCTAATATTATGCATACCAAAATACACTAACGTCAATAAGAGAAGTGACAGCTATACAACTCAAAACGTCAAGAAAACGTCATTATGTTTTCAACCTATAAAATTGATTGGTTGACTTCAAAATTAAAGGTGGAATGATGATAACAAATTCAACTTATTTACACTAGCTCAATTCAGGGCTAGGTTAAGTTTAATTTATTTGTAATTTTAATGTAGAATATACTGTTTTATTGAAATAAATTGTATCAAAGATGGATCTACACAAGATTGTAGAGCTGGGAAACCGAGTAAGTATTTTTATTATAACATGTATTTTATTATTTTATACAAATTAATTAAAAACATCGATTTTTAATTTTAGACGTTTGAAGAACTTAGTCCAGAAGAAAAATTAAGGTAAAATTATGATACATACATGTGTTTTTATATAAAACAATCATTTTCAGGCTAGAACATCAAAGAATACATGAACAACATAAAGGCCATGAGAAAATGCACGCGGAAATGATTATAGTTTTAATTATAACGTTAGTTGTTGCCCAATTGTGCCTAATTGAATGGAAGAAGCGTCATTATAGGAGTTATTCTGTAAGTTACCTAGAATCAAAAAAATTGGGAAAATGCATAGGAAAAATTATACTGAACAATATTGTGCTCAGTATGAATAAAAGTGTCTCTATCTTTAACATTTATACTACTCCCTGGCAAATATAATAATTTGTACTCAGTTGTACTCACTTGTATTTTCGTATACAATTCCTATAAGCTATAAACATAATAAAATTGAATGAATGTACCATTTTATAAATTCTCTATGAAAAGTATACTTATCAATGTAGATTATCTGTATTTTGTTGCTCTCTAATACAGATAAAGATGTATATCAGGTTTATAACGATTATCGCTTTTATAATAACAGTAGTTTGAATATATTCGTAATGTTTGTTTAGTTAAATAAACAATTTTGATATTGAAAATGTTCCTTCTATATAATAGTAACATTTTAGGCTTTTAATTTATTGTATGATATTGTTGGCAGAGTAACAAAATGTAAACAAAACATAAATGATTATGCATTAAAAATAAAAAGGATATACCTGTATGGATAGCAAGTTTTATTAATAAAATCATACAAATGAAGGAAGAAATTGTAAATGATGTTTAAACAGGTTAAAAATAATAACACTATTATTATATTTAATTAGAAAAGACATGTTTTATAGAAGTACAAGAGTAAGGTGTATTATACATAATATAAAACATACATAAAATAATTACAGTACTGAATTTTACAGCAACACCCCCTCTCACTTTTACAAAAGTACAAATGAATTAAGTACAAATTGCAAAAAAAATTACAATAAACTAATAAACTGTAAAATTTAAACATTAGTTATAGAAATATTCAAATAATCTCACAATAATTCAAATTGAGTAACAGGCAATGCCTTGGTCATATCAGTTAACTTTGTAGGAACATATTCAATAACAAAATTTTCTTTATTTACGATATTTTTTACAAAATGATGTTTTACATCAATATGTTTTAAGTGTTTGGTCTCATAAGTTTGAGCAATTTTTATGCAATCTTGGTTTTTGTCAAAAATGTTAATAAGATATTGGAAATCAAACATTTCTTTTAAAAGTTTACCTTAAAACAAACACTCAATCATACATACAGACAGAGCCAAATATTCCACTTCACTGCTACTAAGAGCACCTACCGATGGCTTTTTAGAACACCAGTTTACAACTTTATTATTACAAAGAATAACATATCCAGAAACACTCTTTCTGTCATTAGCATCGCTTGCACAATTTGAGTCAGCATATGCCTGAACAGAAACTTGATCATTTTTAGTAAATTTATTGTATATTAAGCCCAATTAGTTAGTATAGCTCAAATAACAAATTACATTATTAAAATGCTTCCAATGATTACTATTAAAATCCTTTTGAAATCTTCCAAAAAATGAAACTGTGAAACACAAATCTGGCCTAGTGCCAAGCGTCAAATACATTAAGCTACCAAGTACCTCCATACAACCATCCATCCATCCAACCTTAAAATCAGTTTGAGCTTCTTTTTCTAAATTCAATTTAGGTTAAATTGGAATCTTACTAATTTTGCAATTTACTATGTTAAAATGAATAACAATTTTTCTAACTGAATTTTTCTGGCTAACAACTTAAGTATTATCTTTCCTTTCAATTTTTAATCCTATAAGACAATTTTTGTTTCATTTGATAAATCACTTAATTCTAAAATGTTCTCTAAATTTGATTTTAAAAATTTGACATCATCTTTAAAAATTAAAATAACCAAAAATATCATCTACCCATATCCAAATAAGTTTTTCCATTGAAATACAAGCACGGATCAACCTTAGATCTTTTAAGTACTAAATTTCATAAGCTTATTAATAGGTGTATTACAACATTTAGGACTTTCCCATAAACCATATAAAGCTTTTACCAATTTACATACTACACCAGATTTAACACTTAGGGCATCCAGTGGCTTTAAAAATATATCACTAGACACTGGGCTTTTCAAAAAAGGAACGAATGCATCAGTAGAATGGCAGAGGATAGACTAGCACAGGATAAGTCACCAAATGGATGAAGAAGTATTGGCAGACCAAGAAAAAGATGGTGTGACAATTTAAACAATTTAGGAGGCTAATATTGAAGAAGAAACAGGCTTTAAAGCCTACATACTAGAAGGAAGAAGGAGACTTTTCAAAAAAGCACTTTTCACATCAAGTTGATGAATATCCATATCACAATCTACAGCAATGGCTAACACTACCCTCAGAGTGGTTAATCTAGCTACTGGTGCATACACATCTTTGTTGTCCAATGCTGGCTGTTGATAGCCTCTAGCCACTAATCGAGCTTGTATGTGCTTAACTTTCAAGCATATCTAACATACTGAACACACGGAAAATCTACGAGAATATCCCATTTGCTTGTGTCACAACTCAGGTGTATCACGAACAATGTTAACCACATCTGAATACAATTACAATTCTATAAAATACAAATTACCAATCAATTTTCCGGTAATAGTTGCAGTATCATCCTCATGATTTTTACTTCCTTATTTCCTAAAATCACGAAAACCTTTTTCTTCAATTTGTTTTACTGATAATAAGTTATAAAAAATATTGTCACAAACAAAATCATCATTCAAAGTAACTGAAAGTCCTTCTTTAGATATAGCTGAGAAACTACCTTGATATTTTGCGCTACAGTTTCACCAACCTTTGCTACATTTATTTGTCTATCCACTGCTTTGGAATTAGTCAAAAATTTAATTTATTCGACATAAACACGTGATTTGTACAACCACTATCCACAACCAAATGTACACTATTCATTACATTTGAATCAGAGCTGACTGCAACTTCCTGTTTTGTGTGACTACCATCAAGCAAAAAGACAACTTTTTGCTCGATGATGACTACCAAGAAATGCAATTTTTTTATTATCAACATTACACATATTAGCAGTTTTAGACTATCTTTTTGTACATTTCGAGCGAATATGCCCCATTTCATTACAGTGATAACAACGAACTTTAAAAGTATGTTTGCCCTTACCTTTATATTTATCATAGTCAACAAAGACATGCAAAGGGACAGGTAGACTAGTGACTTCCTTTGTTTTTAAATGATCATCTTCTGCCATTTTACTATTTTTCACAAAATCTACAGTTACTTTTGACGGATCAGAACGAAATAAAATATCAATAGATGTTATAACTGAACTAAACTAAATTTATTAGGCATTGCAGATAAAAGTGTGGTGATCTTTTTAGGTCAGTCATCTTTTTAGTTCTTGTGAGTTTTATCAAAATCCACCAAACTCTCAAGCAAGTTGCCGTCTTCTTTAAATACTAATACTTGCGCAACTTTTTCTGGGTGTGTACTCGACTCTGAAGTCCTATCTTTTCATAAAAAGCTTTAAGAACCTCCATCATTCCCACCATTGAAGTTTCTTGGGTTTTAATTATTTAAAAAACATCCCCAACTAACTGAACAATAATATCCCTTGTTAGTCGAATCATTTTCAACAAGGTCTTTGTTCTTATTTGCTACATTAGCCATAAAAAATTGATTGCTGGACGAAGCCATAACTAAATGACTCACGTGCAAAAATTGTTTTGCAATTTTTCCTGCAAACTACACTTTTAGCAGAACAAATCTTACTTTGTTTAAAACACAAACTTAAAAACACTTTTCTAAATTTCTTCATCTGGGCACATAAATTGTTTACGCAGATTAATAATAATAACACTATTGTTATATTTAATTAGAAAAGAAATAAGTTTTATTGTTTTACAAGTACAGGGTAAGGTGTACCATGTTACTATAAATGACAAATAGGATCTTCCCATAGCGCATATACATCGTTTTCGCGCATGACGTAATTTGAGAGTTGAATTTGAATTCTTGTTGGTTAAATGGGATTTGTATGCATTTAGTGAGGTAATTATTGAATTAGCAAAATAATATTAAACGACTTTTTTGTGTTATTTGTTTACAAAAGACAAGAATAATGTAATATTAAAAAAACTATAAGAAGAAACTAAACGAAAATATGTTTAAAGAAGTTTAATAATTATAACTACATAAGGTTATCTCAAAACTATTTATTATTTTTAATATAAACGTTTTCAAATATGTGCAATATACAAATTAAACTTTATTGTAGGTATTCGAAAACATTTTAGTGTCAGGATAAATTTGTTTTACCTATTACAGATAATTATTCACTATAAAATAATATACTAGGTAAATTCAGTTTGATCAGATGATTTTGCAGTATTGTCACCAATTTCCTGTAATATGTGATTTATTATGGGAAAGTTTTTGTCAGTTTCAGTTTAAAATGGTACATGTTACTGAATTTATCTGTGGGATTCACATAAAATCACAGCTTAGCGTATTATGACTGGAATTGAAACCAAATTAAAAAAAAAAAATTTTTACTGTTTTGTTATTATAGCAGAAAATCTTCATTTTCAAAAAAACTCAGTGCATCTCTTGTGCACTGAGCTTTTTTGACACGTTATCGCTGGCCCTGTGTGGACACTATTCACAATAATTATTATAGTACTTAACTTATAGTAAATTTGAATATTAAAAAAAACAACAGAAGTTGTAAACATCAGGTTAATTATAATAGTTGATAAGAATAAAAAGTAAAATGAAGTTGAAATTGCTGATCACAATACCTTAACAAGCAACTGAACAGTGAGTTTTGAAGAAAAAAAAACAATAAAGAACTTCAAAAAAACTTAGCCATATATGAGATCATTTAAATTCAGGGAGTATTTGAAAAAAACTACAATGTTTATACAATATTGAGTTTAGTGTGTCACTAATTTAATTTTATTGAAAATATTAACCTCGTACCAGTAAAGCATTATGTGATTAATTCAAAAGACTTGTAGCTAGAGCAGTGATAAACACACTACAGTAAAAATTGGTTACACTTTTAAATTTAATTAATGCTTCACACGAACTGCACTATATAATTGTTTTGATTTTAGCTAGTCACTTTATTAGCCATGTGGATCCTACCGCTAGGGCTTTGTTTGAGAAGTCATTGGTGGAGATTCGTTTTTATATGGCTTCTATTTTCATGTATAACTAGTCTTATTGTTAGAAAAGCCATTCAGAAGCCAATAGATAGGACCACACCGAGGTAAGAATTACACTCTGATTTTAATTATATGAATGAGTAGAAGTAATGTTTGTGTATTACACAACCCATCTATCTATCTATACAGCCCTTGCTGTCCAATTTTGGGCATAGGCCTTCTCTTCCTTCTTCCACGTCTCTCTATTGTAGGCAGTTTATATCCACTTCGGACCTGCGTGTTTCTTCAAGTCATCTGACCATCTCATTTGTGGCCTTCCTCTTTTTCGTTTGTAACTATATGGTCTCCAGTGTGTAATTATCTTATTCCATATGTCGTTTTTCTGTCTTATGGTATGTCCAACGAACTTACAATTAAGTTTTGCTATCTGCGTTGATACATCGGTATAGTAGCCTCGTATTTCCATGAGACTGTCCAAAAATATATGTATCTGTAATAAAATCATTCAACAAAAAGGTACTCTACCAGGAGTCTGTAAAATTATCAATGACTCAGACGTATAATAATACAAAGTTTCCAGATTCCACTCGATATTAACATTCAGACATGCATGGTATAATCTTTTAAAATATGAACCAGATATGAACAATCAACCAATTAAGTTTTCATCGAACTTATGACAAGTCCACGTGGACTAACGGCCAATGAAAACATCGGATATCGCTGTTATGACAAATCATAATGCATTATCTTTTGTCGGTAGACTTATTCATACTTGGGGTAAGATTATATCAGTATTTGACTGAGCTTACGGAGTAATAAAATAAGGGATCAGGTTTCGACCGTCCAGTGCCGAAGGCACGGGACGGGGAAAACTTAGGTAGGCAAATTTAAAAAAAAAAAGTAGGATTTTTGGGAGACAAGAATATTTTTAGTAAAATCATAACTGCTACAACGTTCAGTTAAATTCAAATTTCAAATAGTGAACCGCAAGTTAGTTTGGTAGTGACTTTTTCAATGTTCTTTATACGGAAAACATTTTATATTTTACGTTTTTTACTTTTTTTGATACGTTTTTACGTGATTATGTTTTTATACGTTTGATAATTTTAAAATATTGCGTCCATGGTGCGATAATAATTATGTAGCTGAAGAGACAATGGAACCCTCTAATCGATTGGAAGATTTACAAAGGCGTGTAGTAAAACGTAAGCGACATTTTCAATACCTTTCTGATGATGCCAAACGTATGCTAAAAAATGTTTATGAAGGACTGTGTGCTGAGTTGTCTAATTCAGAGGCAATTGCAGAAACATGTTTTTTAACCAGAGTGCCCAAAGCAAGCCACTACAAAATTATAGGAGAAACATCTTCTTCTAGACAGAAGAGAAAGGATTGTGGCAAAGTCAGAAAAATAGAACCGCACTTAATTGAATCTATAACTAGAACAATATACCAAATGTATGCGGCTAATATTTTTCCAACTATTGAAAGCCTTCGAAGTGAATTAGTTCGCAAGTGCATTCTCTCGTGTTCAGCAACAACACTTCGATTATTTCTTAAAGCCAATAATTTTAAGTACAAAACTATAGACAAGAGACATACATTAATGGAAAGTACTAGAATAATTTCTTTAAGAAACAATTATATCAGACAGATAACTGAGTATCGAAAAATAAAACGAAATATTGTTTATTTAGATGAGACCTGGTATGATACTCATGACACCGTGAAAAAAAAGTTGGACAAATAATAACAAAAAGTGTTTCAACTCAGTACCGTCCAATAAAAGAAAGAGAATTATAATTTTACACTGCGGTGGAGAAAATGGATGGGTCGACGATGCATTATTAATATCTGCAAAACAAATTAAAAACGCGTCTCTGGATTATCATGACGATATGGAAAGTTCAATTTTTGAATCATGGTTTGAAAAATGTCTTCTTCCGAAATTACTTAAAGATAGTGTGATTATTATGGACAACGCATCATATCATTTAAGATTAATGAAAAAAACTTCAAATAATAGTTGGAATAAATTAAAAATTCAGGATTTTTTATTCACGGAAGATTTGTATTTTGAGACATCTTATATTAAAAAGCAGTTGTTGGAGTTTGTTCATAGTAAACAGTACGAAAAGGAATATGTTATTGACAACTGTGCTCGTAGTAACGGGCATACTGTGTTTAGACTTCCTCCTTATTATTGTACATTGAACCCAATAGAGTTAATATGGGCTCAACTTAAAGGAAATATAATGAGAAGAAACGTTGCTCCAAAATTCTTTGTCTACTGTTCTCCAGTTAATTAGAAGAGAAGTCACAAAAATTACAGCAACCAACTGGAAAAATGTAATAAAAATAAAATATGTGATCGGAGTGGAAAATGACTATGTTAAATATTTACCAGCATTAACCAAATTACATATAAATTTAGATGATACGAGTGATACTAGTGATAACAGCGATTCTGAGTAGATAGTAAGTACTTATTAGGTGTTAGTTGAAACCTTTATTTCTATTTTAATTGTAGATATTCTCATTTTGCTTATATATCTTTGAAAACAGGGTATAAACACACATCTTGATAGGACAAAAATTATTAATGTTTTAGGGGAGGATGTCAACTGAAAGTGTCACTGTCATTTTCGCTGAATAACTACTATTATTAACATCGAGTTAGAATCTATGGAGAGGGCATCACGTGACTAAAAATGACCTAACTTCGGCCATATTGGTATTATTGTTTTGAAACTTTTGACAGATCGTATATGTTTGGTTATATTTGTTGTTTTTCGAATATTTTCAGTATTATAATAATTTTATAGAAACTGTAATATATTGTGATAGTGCATAATAATGGTTTCTTGTTCTTAGCTTAGTTGCAGTAGCAGAAGTAATGTTAATAAAAAATCTTTATCGTTCTTAGGAATATCGTTCCACACGTTAGTATACAAATATATAAACAAAGTAATGGCCCGTATTTCAGAGAATAAATTAATAATATTTGACTGTATTAATTTATCTTTATATATAATATATCGTGTTTTTAGTGTTTACCGCGGGATAAATAAATCGTAGTTTATTAAAAATGTATTGCACTTTTTTAGATTATGATTAAATCTTCTGAATAACTAGTCATATTTGTATAGTAGTTTTATTATTATTGAGTCTGGCCCTGATGTCACCGCCATATTGGTATTATCGTTAGCCACTCCTACCTATGCCGTTTTTAATACATACGTTAATATGCTCATAGCTTCTCCATAGATTCTAACTCGATGATTATTAACAATGTTTTATATAGATATTATCATTTTACAATAAGTTCTGTTCAGTCGAGTCGATTAGTGTTATCACTCCCAAGATATATCACAGAAGTTAAAAACACCGATATTTTTTATTTAAACTTTATAGAAAATGAAAATTTTTGGTAAATAAACTACTGTTCTACTACTATCTACTACAATAAAGGAGTGGTAACTCTAACAGCGTTGCCATTTTACTAGTATTTTGCTTGTTTTGGTCTCTGTAAATTTTCTCACGAAATTACGTGCAGACTATAACTTTTGTTTTGTTGCGGATCCAAGTATTTATTTTCTTGTCTGATACCCTGATGGTCAGCATTTGCCTTTCCATGGCTCTTTGGATCTTTGCTATTTTTCCGTGTTTTCCTTTGTAAACCTCCAAGTTTGAGAACCGTAGGTGAGAACAGGAAGTATACATTGGTTGAAAACTCTTGTTTTTAAATATTGGGGGTATTTTCTCTTTTTTAGTATATAGGAAAGTTTTCCGAAGGATACCCAAGCCAACCGTATCCTTCTCTTTATTTTTCCGGTCTGATTTTCTTTATTTAATTTAACTAGTTGTCCCAAATATACATATTCTTTTACTTGTTCTGCAGTTGTTTGTGCAATTGTAATTATTAATTCTTCTGGTTGGTTGGTCATAATTTTCGTTTTATTATAATTCATTTGTAGACCTATTTTGTTGATTCGCTATTTTTTAATTTAACCTATTATTTAATTCATCCATCCTATTTTGTAATTATTTTTGGGTGATAAAGTGTCACCCTGTCTGACTCCTCGCCGTATTTTAATAGGCCCTGTTTGTTCAACTATTTTAATGGATGTTGTTGCTTGATCGTATATTGGAAATTAAGTCCGTATATCTATAGTCAAAGTCCGTTCAAAGTCTACAAATGCCATATACATTGGGATTTGATATTCGTTGGACATTTCAATTAATATTTTTATCGTAAGGTGATGGTCGCTTGTACTGAATCCTTTTTTAAAACCGGCTTGCTCTCTTGACTGGTAATTATCTAACTTAGTTGTTAATCTGTTTGTTAGTAGTTTAGTTAACAGTTTGTACATTACATTAAGTAGCGTTATGGGCCTATAGTTTTTCAGATCTTTTCTATCGCCTTTCTTAAATAGTAATAGTGTTATTGCTTCGTTCCATGTGGTGGGTATTTGTTTTGTGTTCAATATTTTATTCATTAGTACATAAAGGACTTCCACTGTAGTTTCCCCGCCCCCCAATTTTTTAGCATTTCCACAGTTATTCCATCTTTCCCAGGAGATTTGTTATTCTTCATTTTTTGAGTGCCTTTTTTATTTCATTTTTCTGATTTCTGGTTGTAGGTCAGAGTTAACGTTCTTTATTTTCAGTTTTATAGAGATTTGTATAATATTCTTGCGTTATCTGTAAAATTTATTTTATATTGTTGGTCTCCACTCCTTCATTGTTCTTTATGCTATAAATTTGTATGTTTCCCAGGTTCTGCTTTAAGCACTTCATGTTTCTATTTTTTTCAATTGTTTCAATTTCAATCTCTATATTTTCTTCCTGTACTCTCTGTTTATACTCCTTGATATTTTTTCTAATAGTTTTGTTTATTTCTTTGTATTCCATTTTTTTTCTGTCCCCTTGTACTAGTAATGTTCTTCTTGTGTTCATAAGAATCTTTGTTTCCTGTGACATGAAACTTTTTTTTGTTGTTGTTGTCTGTGTTATTTCTTTACCCACTTTCATTAGAGTTTCAGTAAATATCATGTTTATTATGTTTGTGTTCTATATCTTCTGTGGTCGGCAATATTTACTTATTCTCTCTTCGTTCTCTATTCGTTTTGGTTTCACCATTGGGACTAATCCATGTCCATTTTCTTTGAGTTTTTTTTTAATGTATTCATTGCATATAGTTGCTTCTCCTCCAAGTAATTCATCAATGTGTGTCCTCTATCATTTCTTTTGCCATATTCATGGTGTCCTACTTTGACTTCTTCTTTATATAGTTGTTCTCCTATTTTGGCATTGAAGTTCCCGATTATTAGCGTTAATTTTAATTCCGTTTCTTCCACAGCTGTTGTTATGTCTTCGTAGAAATGTTCAATATCTTCATCGCTGTAGGTACTTGTTGGAGCGTAAACCTGTATGATTTTTAAGGACGTTCTTTTTAATTTAAGCGTCGTGTATGCTACTCTATTTGATATGCCCTTGGTATATTGTATGTATTTAACTACTTTTTTATTTATTCTAAATCCTACTCCATTATTGGTGTTTTCTTCATTACCTTTTTCTCACTATCCAACAAAATGAAAAAAAGCGAGAAGCTTCATAATATGTTCCCTGTATTTTTAAAATTCAATGGCGAGAGACAATTTTACTGCAAGTTACCGACTTTCTAATAAACGCAAAGTCCACTTCCAGTCAGAGGTAAACAACGCCATGTGAATTTGGTGTTATTTACCTCTACTAAATGTGTGCACTGTTATTTACTATCCGGACATAGTGTTATGTACCCTGATACTTGGTGGAATTGTTATGAACTAAAATAATTGTAACCATTTTATTTAGGTCGCAATAGTGTTAGATTGTTAAAAGTTGTACAACACATCCGTTGTTTAATAATTGCAAAATGGATATGAACCCTTTGACGACAATGATGTGTGATGTATAGGCAAACCAGAGAAAACAAAGGTAAAAGAGAAAGCTATTACTACTCCTACGACTAGTGGGGCAATAACAAAAAAATCTATTTAAGGACGATTTATCCCTAAGCAGTGATGTAGGCAATTCCAATATGAACATAATGAAGTTATTTTAGAAGAAGAGAAAAGCGTCAAAAGAAAGGTACAAAATATATTTAAGGGCAAACAAAAAAGTAAAAAACGTGTAGTGAATGAACACAATTGGGAATGTAATGTTCGCAAACGGAAAATAGCTGGTGGAACTCAGTATCTCAGTAAAAAAGGCGAAAATGTTAAAGCCTCTTTGCAAATGAAATGCTCTAAAACATCTTTAACTCATACTGGACTGAGACAAACGTTTCAGATGTTAAAAAGCAATTTATCTTCTCATGTGTCGACATCCAACCTTCTCTTCGATCAAGAAAAAGAGACCTAAACTCTGCGAAATCTAAAAATAATACACTACACTACCATTTTACAGTGAACAATCAGCGATCGAAGGTGTACAAGGTTACGTTTTTAAACACACTTTGTATATCTAATTTAGTAGTAGTGAATATGTTGAAAAAAATTGAGCCAGTAAGTTAAATAAAAGCTGATCAAAGAGGTAGACACACACTAATCAATAAAACTCCTACGAAACCATAAATAGTACACATCAATATATCGATTCCTTCCCAAAGTACGAGAGTCATTATTCCAGAGAAAAGAGCAAGAGAAATTAACTGGGCACATCACTTACAATAGAAAAGATGTATCAACTGTACAATGAAAGACATGTGGATCCAAAGCTGATTTACGCAGATATTTTTAATAAAGAAATTAAGTTGTCCTTTAAACCACCCAAAATAGACACTTACGATACATGCATTACATTCACCGTTCTATTGAAAAATAATCTTACTACAGATGAACTAACCAGTGTACAGGCTGATCATGATGCTCACCTAATTGAATCTAAAACTCGGTATAACTTAAAACAATTGGACTTTATAATGGCTAAAGAGTCACCAAAACACATTTATCTATCTGGAGATTTGCAAAAATGTTTACCTTCACCACTAACAAATAATTATATTAGCTTTTAAAAAAGGAATCTTTGAGAATTAAATTTTACATCATATGATGCCAGTGATTCTTCTGTACAATGTATGATATGGGACGAATCGAAAGGGGCCCGTGGTATAAATGAAATTGCCTGGTCAATTTTGAAATGGACTGACAATACAATTCCAGGTAGTCAAGTAGGGGACATCACTCTTTGGAGCGATTACTGCTATGGACAAAATAAAAATATAAGTATTATAATGCTTTTTTTTGGATACTAAAAGCTGCTAAGCTATTTTTGGATACTGCATACGTACCCTCAAATAAAGACGATCACTCAAAAGTTTTTACTGAAAGGGCATACACATATGGAAGCGGGCAGTGTTCTTGCCTTGATCGAGAGAAAAAGAAACTCTCCAATTTGGCCATTTTAACACCATGGGACTGGCAACAGCTATTTAGGCAAACATCAGATAAATACATAGTACACAATATGGAACTTGCAGATTTCAAAAACTTTAAAACGCTGTTCAATAAGAAACTGTCACCTAATCCTCCTTTTGTAAGTAGAAAAAATAATGTTAACAAAGGGCCTGTTCTACTGTAAACATGTATTTTTCTACAAGTCCAACAAGAACACATTGGAAAGCCATGATACTATGAATAACAAGATAAGATCTTCCCTTAGCTCAAAATCGGTCGGGTTCGCGCATGCCGTCATTGGAGAGTAGAATTTGAAATCTTGTTAAAGTTAAATGGGATTTGTATGCATTCTGTGATGAAATTACTAGAAGAAAATAAGTTAAGAGGTTTAATAATTACAATAATCGTACACATAAGGATATCTTCAAACTATTTATTAAAGATTATTTATTGATATATACAAAAAACTGACATTTCGAACGTCCAACTCTCCAATGACGTCACAAAAACATGCGCAATATCTTATCTTATAGTCATAGTATCATGTTGGAAAGTTCTTTTATAAAACCGATTTCAATAATCAAAATATGTATGAGGTGGACTTCATCTCTCTCATTATTTAGATGATTGTGAATAGGAGCAGTGTGGTGAACTGGATCACCGTCGTGTAAAAACCACATTCGTTGTCGAATATTAAGCGGTACATTTTGCAGTAGTATTGGCAAATGATTATTTAGAAAATCCAGATATATGACACCATTCACACGAGCGTCAAAAAATGTGGACCAATCACAGAATCGTCAACAATACCACCCCAAACATTTATAGACCACCTAGTTTGACTATGAGTGTTACCAAAATAGGGATTGTTTGATGCATAGTTATGAAAATTATGCCGACTTATTGTTTCATTTTTGTGAAATGTAGCCTCATCTCCAAAAAGCAACTAATCGAAAAAATCGGTCCCATAAAACTTCTGAAGTTGTTTCAATGTTTTATAATTGTTAATACCTTTTTCGATTTTTTCAACGCTTTGCTGAATTACTCATTGATGTTTCGGTGACTTTTACGTTTATGATTTCTTCTGGTTTCTCATAGTGTTAAAACGCTTTTACGACTATTTTTGACAGCTATTAGGCTCCCTTAACACTCTTGTTAAGTCTTTAATATTTTCAACGATTCTATGATGCTTTTTCATACAACATACAACTCTTTTTCGACTATTTTTGGATGTTTTTGACTTAATACTTCCTAGATTTTTGACGATTTTTGGATAATTCATAAAACTTCTTATGCTTTTTTTATCATTCGATACGTTTTTGACTATTTTATGAAGTTTTTTCAAGGTTTTATCGTTATTAATTCTTTTTAGATATTTCCAACGTTTTGGTAAATCACTCATCGATTTTTTGGTGACTTTTTACGTTTCCCTCTTTTTTTTCGATTTTTTTTTAATTTATTCAGCGTCTTTTATGACGATTTTTGGACGTCGTTTGACTTAATTTAGCACTGCCTACATTTTTGACGATTTTTGGATGATTATTAAAATCTTAGTTTACTTTTTTTGACTATTTAGCGCCGTTTTGACCATTCCATGGCGTTGTTTCAAGGTTTTTATCATTTTTATGCTTTTTCAATGGATTCAACGCTTTTTTAGACCTCTTTAAGGTTTAGATTACGTTACTTTTGACATTTCTCGATTTCTGGTACTTTTTATATAACATATATTTTTCAGATTCCTACAATTTTTGACACTCCCAATTCTACTTTTGACGCCTCTTAAAGCATTTTTTTAACCTTATGTTTCTTATTAATATTCTAACGCAATGTCTGTGCTGGGGATTGTTGTTTGTTGGATTCCCAAAATATTAACATTCAGCCGTTTCATTTCCTTTATGACATTCTGCATTTTCCTGTTACATATAGAGTGTATGCATTCCATTTAGAAATTCTACTTCCTAATTCTCTTATATCAAAAGCGAGTGATTTACTGCACCCTTTGGTGATTTAACACCTGTCCAGGGCTGAGGGCTGTTTTTTATACTTTTCTTTACATAATAAAATACTATTTGAATACAATATGAATTTAAAAAACTGATCAAATAAAAATAGTTTTCATGCTTTTTAACGCTCCAAATATAACTAATTATTCCTTCTACTACTTCCAGATTAGTATATAAATGGTTTTTACTTCTTCATAAGTTAAGTTACGCTCTGGGCATCTTAGGATATTTCGTAATGATGGCAACCTTTTTTGGACTGAATTTTGTGTTCAACGCCCAGCCCAACAGTTGGATGGACTGTGCGTTACTACTCATCTTTTACGGACTGTATTATGGCGTACTAGGTAGAGATATAGCCGAAATATGCGCAGATAAAATGGCAGCCCATATTGGGGTAAGTATTTTTTTAAATTGGGTAAATATGGTTACACTTTTTATCTAAAAGTAAAATATGTAACGTGTATTTTATTGATTCACCGCGATATAGGCTCAATCACCGAGTACAGATCGAGGTCCTTGGCACATAATGAATTTTGTTGGATTATTTTCAAGCTCCAAAAACTTTTCAAGTATCGTTGTAAATTATATGATCCAACCAACCGGCTCAAATTTCCAAAGACTATACATTGCATCCTTCAATTACATTTTTCACTTAGTGCAAGATATCCTGTCCTGTTGTGGAGATCAGCTAACACAAATCAGTTTTATGGCATTGTCACACAAATTCCACATATCAAATAGCAAGATTTGGAAGTGTTTGGACTCGTAAATAAGAATAGTTCCTTTAAATTTGCGAATCGCGATATCGTCCTCATATATACGTTTTGAAGTTAATTGCTTAGATAGATTCAATGAGGTGGCTTTGACCTATTCCACTGCGACCTTTTCAGGTCTATTGTAGTCCTCTACGCTTGACACATTCATCGTAATTAAATGACAGTGGTATCGAGAATACGTTTACTAATGTGTCTGGGCAATATTTTAGCTGATGCTTTACAGCGCGAGCATCGGTTAGTATAAAAGATGAATTTTTACTAAGTTTGACGAAAAATTGAAATGTTTTACTTTTCTATCATTCTTGGCACTCCATGGTATGTGTGCCGTACGTTTGCTATTCGTGCCTTATATCAATATTTTAGTCCAAAATATAGAAAAGTCTATTAACCATTTCGGCGTTGTTGTGCTTCTATTTAGTTAAGGGCTGTTTGCAGTTCCAAGCTGTTACATACTCACAAGTTCTAGATACCTCAGAACCCTTGTTGCAGAATTTTGCATTTTTATTTTTCTTATATTTCCTTAGAAATATATGTAATGATCTCTTTTAAAATGCCGTATATATATATATATATATATATATATATATATATATATATATATATATATATATATATATATATATATATATTATATTATACGCAAGGAGTACCGCTATTTTCCGACCCTCTGTCCAAATTCAACCTTCGTTGAAAAGTACCCAAAAATTTTTTTTACTAATATAATGTACCGTTTTTAACATTGTTACATATATATACCAAACGTATTGTTCTAGAACCATCTGGCGTAGTCCGACCTCTAATTCGTTGTTTGACGGTCGATCCACTCACGAGCTCGAGACATTTGACGAAAATTCTCGATGCCCTTTCAAAATGCCAACCTTACATGGCCACGCTGAATGCATGTTCGTAACAATAAATATACCTAATTTTTCGAATCTACTTATTTTCCGTCTGCCGCTGAAGATGTAACGTTAGCTGTCACTACCTCGTTTCTTCGGATTATCCCGTTATTAATTGGGGTCTGTTACAACTGGTATTTTGCAAAACCTAGCTACTCACCACTTAGCGTTTAATTAAGCTAAAAGTTGCCATCAAAACACATGCGCAGCGAATAAAATCAGCTAAAGGTAGTACATGAGTCTATATCAAGGAATTAAAATAGAGTTTCACAACAAAACCTAGGTATTTTAGTTACCGTACATATTGAAATAATTATTTATTGGTAATTTTTTTCTAAGTAATAGATATACGTTTAGTTTATTAACAAATCAACAATTTCAGTATTATTCACCTCAAGGAATAAGTACAAGAAATTTGGATCCTTCAGTATGTGCCGTATGCGGTAATAAATTATTGGTTAGCGAAGATGAAGAAGGAGTCATAGAAAATACGTATAAACTAAGTTGTGAACATGTGTAAGTATCCTTTTATTTTCGAAAATATCCATCAAATTTTTTATACTTTTGTGCCAAGTTTGGTTGATGTTACTTCGACGCTAATCTTTTCAGACCTGGACTGTAGTAAAAAGTAGAGAAAGACTGTGTGTGTATGTGTGTGTGTGTTTTATTGGCACTGGTTTTGACAACCAACTGGCCAGTCAATAAAGAGAAAGACTGTTAACGCTTGGTATTGAACAGGGCAAACGCCCAGGAACACTACAGCAAGAGTAGTGAGAAAAATCGGGCGAGGCACCTCGTCCAAATCTGACATACTATCGAAACCGGGCTTTTAAGACCTGAAGTTGATTGTAAGAGCACGGAAAAGTGGAGAGTTATCAGCACTAACTGACGACGTGAGAACTCTCACGCCTACAACACCTGCAAGCCCTATTCCAAAAAAAAAACACATGCAACATCACACACATTCCCTCACATTTCTGCAACAACACAGATTCAATCGACTATTTAACACCCAAATCTTCTCAGATTAAAATTTGAATCTCTAGAGTCAAACCTCCCTAGTGGGTAGTAGTAAAAATCTGCCCTAGTGACCACTAAATCACAAATCAATCGCAAATCTTTACAAGAGCACCTAATATTACACACCGAAAATAGTAAACCGGAACAAAACAACCCCAACCCACTCTACCAGTACACACACACGCGCGCGCGCTCACACACACACACACACACACACACACACACACACATACACACACACATGACTCCAGCAAAACCACAAAAACCATACAAATACCGCATATAACACAACCCATCCAACATTTGCCATCAAAAGAAATTCAACATCACATTAAAATCCAATGAACTCCTGTCCATAACATCACCCACCTAAAAGTCTATCGATCAGACAAAATCCCCATCCTCAACATATATCAGCCACCAAATGTTCACACGAATTTCTAACTTACTTCCAAACATCATCAATGATAATATAATCATCATGGTCCCGGATATTTCAACAAAATTCTATACGCTTACTCAACAAAAGTCTATATGCTTACAACAAAATACAATTAAATCTTTGCCTCGTCATGGCAGGAGTGACCTTTCGCAAAAAGACATCGAAGACAGCTTGTCTGAAGGCAATTTCCCATAAACAAAAGTCGTCAAATAATTTCCCGTCCCATTAATATCCAAACCCACTTCGTACGAGTTTTTACAGACTCAGAGCCAAAGTTCGCTGAAGCACTGACAAGTGGTATTAGACTTAACGGGAAGTTCATATATTGCGAGATTCCTAAATCGAGCAATGTTCTCTTACGTTCAAAATGCTGCCGGGAATATCATATATTGCGAGATTCCTAAATCGAGGGCAATGGTATCCCGTTACGCTCAAAATGCTGCCACAGTGGACATTTTAACACAGAATGTCCACTATCTGTCCCAACTGCGGACAACACAAACCAAACGAATGTCCGAAGGCACATGCACCCTCCTGTCCCAACTGACGCGGCAAAGATCCTGCATATTTCCACAAATGTCCTGCCAGAAAACGCATTCCAACCTCACAAAAACAGACACATGCCGTCTTATTTTTAACAAAAATTTAATCGGGAAAAACACTAGATTAAATCTTAATAATCATTTGATCCAATATTGTTTAGAAACGTCCAAGGAACTGATACGGAGCTCTGACCATATATTAGATATCTCAGTTATGTATCTAAACAAACTGGGACTGCTTTTAATGAAAAAAGACGGTAAGAGTAAGGAACTTGTATGCAAGTTTAGAGTTTATACAGTCACGTATACATTTAAAAACTTATCAAACTGATAATTATTATTCTATAATAAACATGTAATACAATGGCATATATTTACTAGAGATTATGTGACTCATTTGTGTAGAATAAATATTTTTATCTAGTTTCACCCACATATTAGACCAAGGTTAAGTAGATAGTAAAGGTTAACGTAAAATATATGTATATTATGTATAAATTATTTCATTTAAATACTTTAAGTACTATTTTAGTAATAGTTTTTGATACAATCGTTATTTGCTCCTTGGTTATCTTGGCTAAGGTGTTACACGTTTTTTTTTATAAGAACGTTGTGTAACGGTTTTCTATTGTCAGTATAATACTTTTCCAAGGTCATAAGCAACTAAGCAAGCTTTTCAGTAACTTTTTCATCCATCTTATGTTACTTCCAACTTCTCAATGTTAACCAAATTTATTAAGTAATACAACAAAAATACGTTTTGTTATATATTTATAGTATTATAATAAAAAGACTCAATTAATTTCAACTAACTTATTTATTGACACCCTCACAATTAACATAACACAGAAAACCTAACATAACATAAAACTTAGTGGCCTCTTTTCTAAAGGTACTTTCATAACAATCTTCTCCGCTTAAAAAAATAAAGAAAATAATTAATAAACAAATCTTACAAAATTAATTTGGTAGGAGCTTTAATTACTCTACCTGAACAAGTAGCAGTAAGTTTTGGAGTAGTAGAAAGTCTGACCTCAGTTTTATCAAAGATCCTTTCAGTATTTTCATTAAAATCATTGAATTCATTCTTATTATTACTAATAGGACTCTCTACTGCTTCATTTGTTACTGATACTTCTTTGAAAACAAGATAAGCAGATACATAAGTAGATATATTAAACATCAAAAGTTGTTTCTACAATAAAGAACTTAGTTCGTTGAACAATAGTCACACTGATAGTTTTCAGGGTAATAATATCCGCTGCACTCAGCGTGAGTCCATTGTTCACAAAACACACATCTGTAGCATAGTTCAGTTTTTACACCAAACTCACAACAAACCAAACACATTTCAGTGTTTTCGGAAAATAATTCAAAATTGTCATCACTGTATAACTTTTTTTAGTCTGCGCTTGGCTTTTAAGTCCCTAATTTCTTTTTTCTTCTTTGTGTCTTCCGAAAGCGTTTTCATAGGGCTGTCAGTCATAATTACTGAGTGTTGTTTTCTGGAATTTTTTGGATTTGGTTTATCATCATTAAATGATTTTGGAAGAGGTGATACTGATTCCAAAATGTCTTTGAAATGTACCAAGTGCTGGTTCATAAACATTTTCACAGTCAACTATGACTAGAGTTTGAGTGTCTTGTTCAGTGACAAAGTCTATATCAGTAAATTTTTCAGGGCTGTACGGTAAGATCCCTGAAGCACTAAACCCTGAAACTCCTTTATCCATCGTTGCTACTTTTAAGTAAGCTTCATTAAATATAGATGCTATGTCATACATAGAAATCTTCTGAAATTGGTTTTCCACCAAGAACCTGTCACACTGTATGTTGAATGGTTTCTTCAGAGGACCATAAAACGACAAATCCAAAGGCTGTAGTTTATGTGATGTGTGAGGTAATATTGAGACATATTGAGATATGATTAGATCTACAATAATCATAACTATCAAGAGATATGTGACTTCCGTGATTGTTCATGATCAATAAGATAGTATATTCCTCTGTTGGTTTTACGTTGCCTTTGAAATGTGTGAGCCACTGCATGAAGAGGTCTTCATTTGACCAACCATTATGGGAGGTGACCAACTTTCTCTTACTGAGGTGATATTCTCTGCTTAAGATATATAAACATGGGCGGTATGTATGCACCAGAAGCACTCAAAGTGCAGACAATCGTAATGTTTCTGCCTCTTTCCCAACAGAGCCCACCTGATGTTGTCCTTTAGTAGCTAAAACCTTTCCACGTTTTTGGACCGTAGATATACCTGTTTCGTCCATATTAAATATTCTAGTGGACTTAAAAAAAGGAGATTTCTTGTAAACTGCTTCCAAATTGGAAAAACATAAATCCACTTGCTGCTGAGGGTTGTCATGTTGTCATAATGAAGGTAGCATTCCTCTTACGACATCTGAAAACCCAGTCCTTTTTATTTAAAAAATTATGTTTTATTTTTAACTTTTCAGCAAGATCATATACAAGTCTCCGTAAGTCTGTCTGAAATAATGCCATAAAACTGGTTTGATAGTTGCTTGATGTGATCAGCTAATATAGCTTCTTGTTCTGCTAAAAAGTACGATTTCTTTTAAAAGGCTGATTTTTCGGTAGAATTTGAGACGGTCATGAGGCGTAATTGTTGAAATATTTAATTCAACGGCAACACTTTTTGCGGATCGTCCATTTTGAACCAATTCAAATGCCCTTTTTAGTGACTCCTCATTCCATTTGCCCCTTTTCGTTGTTATTTTTCTCGATCTTTAGATCATCATCTAAAACAAATCAAAAGCAACGTCTTTGGTATCAAATAACTGCATATTTAATTCTAAAATAAATGGAGTAATACCGACACCTGTCGATCTTTCCCCCCATTGATGTGTGCATTACCCCTGTAGGACAAGGTGGTGGTTACAAAATTGTACAGACTTAACTAAATGTTAAAATGTAACATGAACTATACCAAAATTATCCTTATAATTTGCACTTTCTATTTATCTAAGTGTTTTTATAATAATATAATTTGTTATAGAGTTACCTTCAATTGTAGAGAAGTCGATAGATCAAAAACTAATAAAACACACATAAAACAATAGGGAACTTGCACATTTTTTTTTATTATATAATAACGTTCAGTTTCATTTAAAAATAAGATTTCCAAAATTTCACGCCTCAAAAACTCATAATGACTTAGCAATACAAATTTAAAATCTTCCGTGTATAAAAATCATTTCAAACGATCGAAAAAGCGCGCGAACCCTTGTGACGTCACTTGGTAGTATTGTCTGTATGTCAGGTCTCCTGTCTTGTATAAAAGTATAAACTATTTTGTTTATATTGGTGTTTGATACAGTTTTTGAATAGAGAGTGTTGAATTGTGTGTGTTATTACTATTAAAAGTAAATACTACAAGTGTTCTTTAGTACCATTGTGTAAAAGTACAACCATTAAAACCCACAACAAAATATTTATTAGATTACCAGTACAGTACAGATCATGTTATTTCTTTTTACTTGAACCCATCCTACAGCTACATCTCCATATGATTGATTCTCTGCCAGATCTAAATGCAAACGATGAATAAGTTAATTTGATTAAATTTCAGTACAATAGCATAAACATATAATATTGGCACTACTTAAATAAAGTACAGTAAAGTAAAGTAATAAGTAAAGTAAGTAATAAAGTAAAGTAAAATAAAGTAGTAAATCCTACAAGGGAAGATCGAAGGTAGGAGAGGAGCCGGCCGCAAACAATTGTCCTGGTTAAGGAATATTAAAGAATGGACAGGAATACACAATACAGGTGAGCTGTGTCACGCCGCCAAGAACAGAATTCTAGTAATGAGATAGTCGCCTACGCACTTTGGTGTATGGCATGTTAAGAAGAAGAAGAAATAAAGTACTAAGTTTTATCATTAAATACCTTATTATGAGAATAATAATCACAATAAAATTAATGTAATAGGAGTATATTTAGTACTTACTTATCTGCTTTAACTCCCCGAACTTCTCCCAGGGAAAAATTTTCACCGTTTTGAAAATATGTGGCTACCATAAACATATTTGCAATGGGCAAGTTATCAGCGGCGGGCGAACTTTCGACACCAAATTGTCTTTGTACCTGGGGTAATCGAAGGGTCAAATTTTATTATAGGAAATTTCGACACCGCGGCGTAAAGCAGGTAGGTAGGTAATTAGCGACGATGGACATTTGCACCCAAGCAGGACAAGCGGGTTTTCCCAATATTTATTGTCACGGCGGGGGACGTGGCACTTGTGTACTTGTGACTAAATTATTTCAGTTGTAATTTATTTCTTGTTTGACGTTGACTTGTGCACGTATACGGATATTTAAAAAATGAGTTTGTAAAAAAATTTATGAGCATCATTCGTTCTCGAAACAGAAAGTGTTAAAAAGCGGCGAGATATTTTGGCGCTGCATCCAAAGAAACACTAAGTATTCCGCAAAAGTGGTTACAATAGGCTGTGAGGACCTCACCATCACAAGAAGTGATTTGGTACATAATCATGAAGCCGATCCAAAAAAGCTTGAAGTAAAGATGGTAACCAATGCAAGATACTACTGTTAAGGCTAAATTGGCATTTTTGGAGAAAATGATGGATAAACTACGATCCCAACAAATACGTAGGTTAGATTTTATAAAAGCTATATCTTATCATTCCTATAATAGCAAATAAATCATTGTATACAAGTATATTAAAGGTAAAATGTACAAAAATTAGGTACTAGTTGTATTCGAATATACCTGTAAGATAAAAACGGGAATTAGGGCTGGTGTCGAAAATTGCCATTAGATTTTAGTCGCTACCTGCTTAGTGTCGAAATTTTCTGCACCCGTTATCAGACTAACCTTTGGAAAAACCCTCTTCGGTCATTTTAAAAAAAATATCTGAACAAAAACACTTAAATATTATTAAATATATAGTTTACAGCAACTATCTAAAGATTTATAAAACTGAAATACACCATAAAATTACTATAACAAGTAAACGAATGTCAAACGTAATGAATTAATAGTGATAGTGCCAATCTTTGAACATTCTGACTATATGACGTCACGACCAATGAGGACGCGTTTTGGACTGGCTGCTATAATTTGAATTTTCTCTCGATTTTAATCGTTTTTAGGGACCAAACTAAAGACAAAAACAACTTTTTTTTGTTTGATATATATTTTAAATTATGTTTTGTTATGATTTAAGGCATTTTTTTCGAATTTAAAATTTTATGCAAATTCCCTATTCAGAAAAAACTAGTTTGTTTGGATGACAGAAACTAGCTGAGGTATCACTCACTAAGCAGCAGCGCTTAGTACAAAGCACTTAAAAATAAAACCAAAACCCACTGTGTCGGTATTGCCCCGTATGTTGGGATTCCCTCGGTCTACCCTAAATATTACACGTTACATGTATTTGTAAAATACTTACTTTGGATCGAAACAAACCTTTTAAAAAATCTTCCTTTGTATGGAAATCCAAAATTCAAGGGTTAACAGAAAATCTAATAGAAAAAATAACGGTCAGAAAAAATATCGGGCGAATCCATCAATTGTTAACAGAAAAACTAATGACGGATTCGGATCTGCATTAAAAGTTACGTGAACGTGAAAAATATAAAAGTTAAAATTTTTACTTCCGGTTCCTGAAAAAAGTAAAAAATATCTACTTTTTAATATTATCTCCTCTATACAACTTCCATCTTTGTTTTAGATTCCACGAATTCTGTATACGCGGATGGTGTATAGTAGGCAAGAAGCAAACATGTCCATATTGCAAAGAAAAAGTGGATCTTAAGAAAATGTTTTCCAATCCATGGGAAAAACCACACGTACTGTTCGGCCAGTTATTGGACTGGATCAGGTGGCTGGTCGCTTGGCAACCCGTAATCGTTTTTCTAGTCCAAGGAATCAATTGGGCCTTAGGCTTGGAGTAGGTAGAGGCCGAGGCGCTTCAACGAAGAAACTGCATCGTTTTGACTTGATGATTTTTTGTTACCTATTTGTTGTGATGTTAAATTATTTGATAATAAAAAAATACCTGCTTAAGATTATAACCGTTGTACTAATTTATTTACGCACGGAGAGGAGTACAAAAGCCTAAATGTAAAATAATTGTAGAAATCTTCCCAATCTCGGTAAATCAGAAAGCTACCAACCTTTAATACATCAGATATTGGGTACCTACACGGAAAATCGCGATAATGTTATATTCAGGCAATAGTGCGAGCACTGCCAGATATTTATTCAATGTAAGATATTATAATACACTCCAATTCAATTTCAGGTTATACAACAATTCAAAGAATTTCAATATAGTTTTACTATGACCCTTCCTAAAAATAATTTATGATAATTTCTCAACATAAAATTATAACAAATGTTCAAATAATAAGCCATTTTGTACTAAAGCAGTATCCCAATCGATTGTAAAATTTTTGTCTAACATTAGCCAGAACATAAGGCGTTATTTTTGCACACTCTTCAATAATTCGCATTTTTAATTTTAATGCTTCTATATGTGTAAATTTTTTGTTGGAATTAATTTTTATTAATTAAACTGGTCTGCAATGTTGCGAGAACTTATTTTAGGATTTTCTACAACTGCTGTTAATACATTTAATGTTGATTTTATAAATTTCTTGGTACCTCAGCAATATTGTTTGTACAGGCACAATTAGAAATCACGGTTCCAGTATTTTCAAAATTTTGTAAAAATGACTTAGAATTGGTTTATTGGGATATCTTACGCTAAATAGACAACTGACAATTCGCGCACTATTGCCTGAATAAAACATTTTTATTATTGCAACTTTCTCCTCAACTGAATACATTTTTAATCAACTTTATTGTTTTTTAAACGATAAATCACAAAATAAAAATTTTGGCAATTCAAATATCAGAAACATCAATACAACCAAACGTAACATGTCATGCACATTCTTGCACAGCGTGTGGCCTGATTTTAAGGGGTGTCCTGAAAACTGTATTATATTCTTACAAAATTTTGGAATACGTTTAAGTCGTAGAACAATTTTAACATTTGTTTTCGATACATATTTCAGTAAACTACAAATAGTTTTGCTTGACTTTTGGTGTAAAATAATTAGGGAAGCAGGAATTTAACAATTTAGAATTTTCCACTGGGTTTCTTATGGCCCGTTTGACGATTCACCACCCTGTGTATATATACATATATTTATATAAATCAAAAATATAATTTGGGAGAGGGTTAGAAAAATTAGAATATTTCTTTAAATGTTTATTGAGATTTATAATCATTTTGTCAAAATATCACAGAATATACATTTTTTATATATAGATACTATCTTCTTTCAAACAATAATACGTGAAAGACCCTGTTTTATCCGACAAATTATGGTAGTTTAAAAGAACTTTTCATGATGATCAAATATATTAGAACTTTATACTAGGTTCAGAAATTTTGTCGTTCGATAACAGATGGCGCTATTTGATTTGACATTTTATTGCTAATATGGTAATATTGTTTGATGAACACGTATGAAGTTCACTGTACATTTGTCACCTCATTCTTATATTTATTTGTGTTATACTCTTTTTTATAATGAAATTTTTACGATGGATGTTGGGTAAGATTAGAAAGGATAATATCAGTAATGACGTGATTAAGGAAAGAGCCGGGGGTGACTATAGTCTAAACAATATTTAATAACAAAGACTGCAGTGGTTTGGTCACGTTAGATTTAGAACTATGTGAGACGGAGATAGAGCTGTTCAATGTTAAGGGAAAGATATGTAAAGGAAAACCAAGGAGAAGATGGAAGGACTGTGTGGCAGAGGACTTGAGAAAGGTTTAAATGAAGAAGACACAATGAACAGGAATGAGTGGCGAAGAAGAGTAAGGAACAGCGACTCCTGAAAAGGGAACAACTGAAGAAGTCTACTCTTTTTTATAATTGGAACAAAAACACATTCGAATATGACTTTCTCAGCAACATTTGGACTGTTTTATTAAGGCTAAAACTAATTTTATCCAACGTTTCATGAATATCAAGGAAATTTTCATTCAAAGTCATTCCATGATTTATATTAAAATAAGATACTACTGAGTGATTTGAACTTGGTAATTCAGTTTAAAAGGGAATTATCTCTATAAATCGACAAACAAAGTAATCGCATCAGTTTTGTTGGGATGTAAAAGGAATTTTGCTCTTAGATCATCTCTAAACTCATACTACAAAAAGTTGTATATTATTCAGAATATTATTGTAATCTTTTAGACCAGTTATACAAGAGAAAGAACCTAATAAACTGAAGAAATTGCTCATCAAGACAGTGTCGTCTTTCACAACGTGACTGACATAAAAAATAAAAGCGATTCTCAGTTCAGGGATGGAATTAATTAATTAGAACATTACTGGTACAAGTGTATTTAAGTTGAAGGAGATGGTAGTAAACACAAACATGTATTTCAATCATAAAATCATGATTTTTATCAAACGACAAAACCTACTGAACAACTTCTACTATAACAGAGAAAAGTTCTCTTTCGTACATGTATAATCTACCAGATTTTTATCTGTTAATATGCTACAAATATTCTTACGTTCTAAAGTACTTTTGTCACAGTAAGTTGGCACTTAGATGCAGCTGAGCTGTGACAAAACAGTCCAGGGGCGTAAGTCAAGTATTTTAAATAGGCAACCAATTAATTTGCCATCAACGTCATTTGACAATTTTATTTATAATGAAATTGTTTTTGCATTAATAATACTCAACACAGAAGAATATTAAGCTGAATTTAAAGGAAAAAATCGTTACGGACCAGTGTGCGAAAGAAACTCGAGACTATGTGTTATGAGCACAAGCTGGTGCCTCATGTCTTCTTAAAAGGAGTTTGATCGGAGTGATAAAAGTAGAACGTACCAGGCACTAAATTCTTCAGATATACCTGCGAAAATGATAAACTGAGGCGAGAATACGATTATTGGAATGAAGTAGTAAAGCAATGACCATGTTTCGGCACCTTTTTAGGTATATTGTCTAGGAATAGGGACGGCTGTTGGCAGCAGTAACTCATATACTTACTAGGTCCTTCTTCTCATATCTTATACTGTACTTGCCTAGCATTTACTTTGCGAAATTATTTAATTTGTTCGAAAAACTCTGAATGTCCAATCCCAAATGCTCTCATTATTTAAGTTAATGTGGCCAACAGCCTTTCCCTGCTTCTGAAAAAGCTACCTACAAGGGTAGCTACACGTTGAGATGGAACCAGACACGAGCCATCAAAAAGAGACACGGTGATTTTTTTTGTACAGTAATGAACATCAGTGTCTAGCTTTCTCGATGAATTTACCGTATTATAGAAAACAAGGAGAGTTGAAAATTTTAAAAATATTAGAAGACAAGACTAAGGATGTTAGTCTGGAGGATCTTAGATGGCTTGTGTAGATATTACAAAAACTTTTGATGAGGATGATGGAAACAATATACCAGGTACTAAGCTTTTTAGAGGCAAATTAATAATATAAGATAAAATAACTTTCAAATAATGATGTAGTAATGAGATAAGTCATCTAAATCTGAAGTTAGTAAAGGTACTAGGCAATATACAAGGCCTCTATACACGATCATTTTTAACTCGGTAGAAAACTTGTCATGAGAATCAAAACCAAAATAAATGAACCCGTTGTAACAACTTCAAGTCGTCAGTTCGTATATTGTTATTTATAATTGATTTGATGACAGATCAAATTCTTCATTTTCTATCTACAGAACTTGAAGCTCGCTTAAAAGGTGAATTAAATACAATACACAACAAAGAAGCGGACAATACCAAATTCTGTCAACATAAATGTCAGACAGTGCGTCAGCTAAAAGCGTAACAGATACAGAACACCTAATTCAACGTTAAGAATGATGTGGATCAAACCGTAAAAGCGGAACTTTCACCTTTGTCGCGAGAAACCTAGAAAAAACCCATTATCTGAAATAGTACATATACCCCAGTCAAGGAAGAAAAAAGCTGAAAAAATCTGGGTAGCTGATGAAAAATCCTTGAAGATGTACAGCTGATTTTGTTCTGTTTTTTAACGATGTTAAAAAGTAAAAAACAGTTTTTTGTGTATAAAAAGTTTCTTATACATTATAGAGAAAAATTTCAAATAAAAGTTGAATTAATTACTATTTAACTGGGAGTAAGCCACAATTAAAGATAAAAATACGTTTATTGACGTTTCAATTTCCACTTCGGAAATCGTTCTCAAAATACAAACAGTAAATTAAACAAATTTTGTTTTTTGTTACATAGTGAAAAATTCTTCTAATAATTTAATTTTATCTGACTCATTTATATTGACATTTCAGACATACATTATGCATTTTAAAGTAGACGACTTTAAAATGATATTGCCAATATTGTTGAGTTTACTTATAAGATAGTTCATTCGATTACATGAAATCAACATTAACTTGAGAATATCCGTCAGAAAAAAAATCATAGCATGTAATTCGTCTTTAAAAAGACAAACACATGACATGATGACAGTAAAATTCTCCTGTTAGTGATTCCATAGTAAATAGACGAATTACATGCTATGATTTTTTTTCTGACGGATATTCTCAAGTTAAAGTTGATTTCATGTAGGTAATCGAATGAACTATCTCATAAGTAAAGTCGTCCCAGGAGCGCAACTCAACAATATTGGCAATATCATTTTAAAGTCGTCTACTTTAAAATGCATAATGTATGTCTGAATTTTCAATATAAATGAGTCAGATAAAATTAAATTATTAGAAGAATTTTTCACTATGTAACAAAAAACAAAATTTGTTTAATTTACTGTTTGTATTTTGAGAACGATTTCCGAAGTGGAAATTGAAACGTCAATAAACGTATTTTTATCTTTAATTGTGGCTTATTCCCAGTTAAATAGTAAATAATTTAAAATGCCACAAGAAAATAGCTTCAGAACAATAATAAAAGTTGTATATCATAAAAAGTTCTTTATTTTGAGAGTTTCCAAAATAAAGTACATAAATAATTAACTGAGATGATTTTAAAAAAGGAGAGCGATTATTTAAACAATTGTACTTGCCCAAACAGTCACTCTAGAGGTTATTTTGTAAATCGCAATTGATTCTATGAGGTGCATTTATAAGGTTTTTTTTTAAACTTCAACATGGTATTAAATTTGTTATTAAAAAGCAGTTTGAAAAAGGACTGATTTTTAGCTCCTAAACATTTATAACAACTTTGATATTTTTTATGTCACGCGGTTGTAAGTAGGTTCAAATTTGATGAAAAAACACACTTTCCACAAAAAAAAATAGAACATTTTATGACCAATAACAAGAAATAACCTGAGATATTACAGCGGAAAGTTCTCCCCTCCACTTTTCTGTGGCGGTATTTTACGAGTACCATCATTTTAACGGGTTATAAATTTTTACTTCTTCAATATGTATGTTATTGTTTGTATGCTATTTATTTTAAGTTGGATCATAAAATTTAGATCCTTTTTTACAATTTGTACAAGTTTCGAAAGCGCATGGTTAAATGCTACATTTGGTCAGTACTCTTATACGGTATCGAAGCATGGACATTAAAAATATCCACCATTAATCGTCTGGAGGCGTTTGAAATGAAATGTGGCTGCACAGACGTATACTAAAAATTCCATGGACAGCTATGCTGACAAATGTGGCAGTCCTTGAGAGAGCAAATGCTGCTCGCGAGCTGCTTGATAACATCAAATGTAGAAAGATGGCCTATTTTGGACACGTAGTAAGGGGAGACCGATATAATATTCTTCAACTTATTATGATGGGTAAAATCGAAGGACGAAGAGGAATTGGTAGAAAGCAGGCCTCTTGGTTGAAGAATATCAGGGAGTCGACAGGAATAAGGAAAGCTGAGCAACTCTTTAAAATAGCTCGAGACAGAGACAGTTTCGCCATGTTAATCGCCAACGTCAAGGGGACTTGATAGGGCACGTTAAGAAGAAGACAGTTTTCAGCTATTAATGTTAATAAAGACTGGAAATATGGTTTTAAGAAACAATTGCTATCTGATTTCCTATTGATCATAGGTTATATTTTTTAAGTGTCTTTTCACCAGCTTTTCATTGAGACTACATACAAGTGTATGACATAAAAAATGTCAATGTTATTAATGTTTATATGTTAGAAAGTTAGCCCCTTTTAAAACTGCTTTTTAATAATAAATTTAATAAAATCTTGAGGTTTTTTAATATACCTTAAAAAAGCACCAAAGAATCAAACCACAAAGTTCAGTTGTTTAAATAGTCCCTCTCCGGGATAAACAAATTGAATAATTTATAAACTATTTGGACGATCTATTTGAAATTTAGCACACTTTAATAACTCATTTACTGTCACAATTTTAAAAAGTTATATTACAGGCCATTATGCAAAAAACAAAGTTATTAACGACTTTTTCATTTTTGAATATTGTTTAAAACAAAAATAAAGCAAAATTAGCTGTAGGGGAAGTGGGGGCCCCAGATTGATACACTGGAAACATTGATACAGTGATTCTAACTCAAACATCATAATAAAAATTATTACTTACTTGTTACTGTATGTGACGCTACTGATACTATAACGATCAAGAAAGTTAAGTTTCCACTCACGCCAGTAAGTAATTAGCTCTCAAAGTGATAGCACGTGTTTTGGTATACCTAAATAAAATTTGAATAGTGTTTTTAAAGATGTCATTTAATAAGTTATATTTAATTGTTTGCGACGTAATAATTACCAACTGGTAAGTATGTTTGTATATTACATTACGTAATATACAAACATACAGCAGGCTATTTAAATGAATATGTAGTTACCTGAAGCAAGATGCATTATGGTCTCACTCTCTACCAACTTAGAAGTTTAGCTTAGGAGTATGCCAAACAAATCAATGGGCTCCCACTTCTCTTACGTCTTTACGGATTTTTCATCAACTACCCCTCATAAACTTTTAGAATTTTCAAATATGTGTATAGGATTTTTACGTGAAATCAATGATTTTTTCCAGGCAATGAATAGAGAAAAAATACGGGTATATTATCTAACTACATATTAGACACGTATTTTTCATCACTATACTTTTCTACTATATTTCTCTTCCGCAATTTTATAATCATTAAAGAACTAACCATCTTAGATAGATATTTTTATAATGTTATTGTTCGATATGAACTGCAATCACTGACATTTTTTACCGGTATTGATATGAAAAGTATTCTTTACAATATCCAGAAAAAAAACGTCGAATTCAAATTGTAATGACTGAAAATATTTAAAATAATCTTAATTTAATGACTTTAGATATGCGTTACCACTGTCACATAAACAGCAAACTTATATTTTTGGACTTAGCTATTACTTTTACAGATATCTAACTGTTGGTATCTTCTACACAATACTTACAAATGTTACTGTGACTTTTAAAACAGATCTGATGGTAGTAATGACCGCAAACGCAATGTTTCACCTCTCGCAGGATTGGATTGCTTACAGATATCTGACAATAGGAACATTTGATGTTGGAATCGGGTCTAATACTCTTGTGTGGCGATTGGAGGCCGGAATGTTGCTTTTGCAGGAATTGTTCTAAACAGTCTCCAAGCTATAAAATAAAATTCGTGTTAAATGTGTCGTTATTGCATGGCCAATCATGCTTTTGCGAGATACTTGACGTTAAAAACAAAAACGTTCAGTTATATGAGTTTTTCTACAATCACTTAATACTGTAGGCTTAAGTTTATTAAACTTTTTTATTTGATGATTTCTTCCATTTACTCACTTATAGTCATAATCGTAAATAAAGAGTAATATCTGAACACTAAAACATTGTTTTACTTTATGTACTTACGCTGCCAATGTGGCTTGATCAAAATAATAAATTCTTGGTAAGGTCTTCATTTAACTTCAGATATAAATTACATTTTAGATAAAGTTTTTAAATGAAAACTATAGAATAACAAATTAAAGGTATAATTGGTACTTTAGGATATTAATTAATGTGGTGCCAAGAGCCTCTACCGGTCAGATTCGCACATGCGCATTATAATAATATGCTCCTTTACGGACTACTAGAACAGGAAATGCAAACTCCCGCAATTTAAACGCGCCAAACGAAAATTATCCATATGAGTGGCATTGAAAGTAACTCTGTACTTTATGGCATACAGAAGGAAAATGAACATTTGCAATTAATGAAAATAATGAAAAGACTTGCCATATAACAAAATAAGAATATTACGCCGCTATGTGTTTTCCGTGCTGCTATATAAAATGTGGCCTTGGCTTTAAAGAAAGACATTAGTGATGGAATAGAAGCATTTGAGATGTGTTGCTACAGAAGGATGTTAAAAATAAGCTGGATGCACAGAGTAACAAATATTGAGGTGCTTGGGATAATGAAAAAAAACATGGAAATAATGAATACAATTAATATAAGAACAAAAATCCACAAGGAATCTACTTTCCTGTAGCTGGCTGTATACCATATATTAAAAAATTTATTAAAAATCCTTTATAAATGGTATATATTTAAAAAACCCAAACGGGCTATGTTATACAAAACGTTTTCGGAATCCATATTCCATCATCAGTGTCTAGGTATACATGAATGCAGCCACTAAATATATGGGTGAAAACCCGTTAAAAATTATTTGATTACAATTAGTTTACATTATTTGATATTTATTAATAGGATGTTAAACTTACTGTTCGATTTGGTAACATGGCGACATATGACTAGTCTCAGGACTAGCAACTTCACGTGGAGTCATATGTCGCCACGTTACCAAATCGAACGGTAACTTCTTCTTCTTCAAGTGCCGTCTTCGTTCCGAAGTTTGGCTATCATCAAAGCTATGCGTATTTTTGATGCTGCAGATCTAAACAGTTGGTAATTGGTGCAATTGTACCATTCTCTCAAGTTTTTCAACCATGAATGCCTTCTTCTTCCTATAGATCTCTTTCCCATTATCTTTCCCTGTATAATCAATTGCAGCAACTGGTATTTATCTCCCCTCATAACGTGTCCCAAATATTGTAGTTTGCGCTTTTTAACAGTAAGTATCAGCTCTTTCTCTTTCCGCACTCTCCGCAAAACCTCCACATTTGTTACTTTCTCTGTCCAGGGTATTCTTAATATTCTACGAAACATCCACAACTCAAATGCTTCTATCTTTTTGGTATCGATCTTTTTCAATGTCCATGTTTCCATCCCGTAGAGGAGAACTGACATAACGTAACATCTCAAAAGGCGAATTTTAAGTTTTAGACTTAGATCTCTTCCGCAGAACACCTTTTTCAATTTAGTAAATGTGGCTCTAGCTTTCTCTATTCTGGTTCTGATTTCTTCAGAGCAATCATTATTTTCGTTGATAACAGTTCCCAGGTAATTATATCTTCTTACACGTTCGATTCTTTGATCATGCACGGTTATGTCAGGGAAGTTTTGTGGTGATTTAGATATTAGCATTATTTTTGTTTTGCTTATGTTAAGTGATAATCCGTGTTCTTCACTGCATTCTACTATTTTGTTAATTAGTATTTGAAGATCTTCCCAAGTTTCTGCGATTAGTACCGTGTCATCGGTATATCTCAAGTTGTTTATTCGGATGCCATTTATCTTAATACCTATATTTTGATCCGAAAGTGCTGTGTTTATAATGTCTTCGGAGTATAGATTGAATAAGGTCGGTGAGAGTATACAACCCTGTCTTACGCCTTTCTTGATCTCGATTTCTTCCGTTGTCTCTTGCTCTATTCGGATATTTGCTTTCTGGTTATAGTAAATCTTAGAGATAATTCTAATGTCCCTTTTATCCAAGTTTTTTTCTACTAGCAGTTTCATTAAGTGATCGTGACGAACTTTATCAAACGCTTTTTTAAGTAGTTTAAGCTTTTTTTGTAATCAATAAAGCACATATATATATATATATATATATATATATATATATATATATATATATATATATATATATATATCTTGGTTTATATCTAGACATCTTTGGCATATGACGTTAAGTGCAAATAGTGCTTCTCTTGTTCCAAGTTCCAAGTTATCTGCATCTAGTTTTCTGTTAATTCTTGAGTGGATTACTTTGATGAATACTTTTAATGTATGCCCCATTAAGCTTATAGTGCGGTAGTCAGTGCACTGTTTTGCATTTGCCTTTTTTGGTAAGGTTACAAAAGTTGAAAGTAGCCATTCCTTTGGTATTTCTCCTCTTTTGTAGATGCAGTTAAAAAGGTCGAGTAGAATATTCACTGATTCGCCTTCCACAAGCTTAAGAAGTTCTGATGTGAGCCCGTCTGGACCCGGTGATTTACCATTTTTCATTATTTTTATAGCGTATAATAGTTCTTCTTTAGTTATTTCTGGTCCTTCGTCGCCTTGCAAGTTATCTATATTAGGTTCTTGTCTTTCATCGTCGAACAATTCTTCTACATAGTTCTTCCAGGTCCTAAGCTTTTCTTGTAGATCGGCTATTATTTCACCATTTGCGTTGCATATGAGATTGGGATGTTTTCGTTTTTGTGTACCTGTCAGTTCCTTTATCTTTTTATGTAAGTTAAAAGTGTCATGTTTGAGATGTAGTTCTTCGATTTCCTCGCATTTTCTTGTATAAAAATTTTCTTTTGCAGTTCTTATTTCTTTTCTGATTTGTTTGTTTACTTCATTATATTTTTGGCTGCATTTTCCCTTTAACTGTGTTCGCTCTTCCACGAGACCTAAAATTTTTTCTGTTATCCATTCTCGTCCTTTTTTCTGTTTCTCTTTGGTAAGCATTTTCTGGGCAGGTTTTATTTTGGCGTCTTTTAAATCTTGCCACTTGTCTTCTACATGCGTGTTCTCTGTCTTTGTAGAAAGCATTCGTAAGTTATCATTGATATGTTGTTTTAAATCTTCTTTAATTGTTGGATCTTGTAAGCGGCTGGTATCTATGTGATCTATTTTTGTTTTATTTGAAGGTCTTTTGAGTCTAATGTGTACCCGCGCTATCAGGGGGTTACCTAACGGTAACTAACATCCTATTAATGAATATCAAATAATGTAAACTAATCGTAATCAAATAATTTTTAACGGGTTTTTACCCACATATTTAGTGGATGCATTCGTCTAGACACTGATGATAGAATATGGATTCCGAAAACGTTTTGTATAACATAGCCCGTTTGGGTTTTTTTAAATGTATACCTTTTATAAAGGATTTTTAATAAATTTTTTAATATAAGAACGTTGTAATACCTGGGTCATGGATGAGAAGTGATAAGTATTTCCTGTCACAGATGATAATACAGAGTTAAATACTGTACTGAAGGCATGTACATGTGCGAAATTATTACATTTTTAGGACTATATCAATAGGTGTGGTTCAAAATAATTAGGAGAGGTAATTAAATGTCAAACAGACAATAGCTAAATCAAGTTTATAAACAATCTTACGAAGCTTACGAGTATTGGAAGAGTTTCCTGATATTTCGTGGTTAAACAATTTCAGGAAGTGGTATAAATACAGTTCTGTAGATTTATTCAAAGCTGTAGTAAAAATAGCGATGATGATTACCAATTTCCTAACAGGAGACAATACCTAAATTTTGAGGTAAAATGATTCAGAAGCAAACTGAGCCCTCGTTTGGGTTTCTGGGTGAGAAAAACTTTGGAAGGGGAAATGATTGCGAAAAGTAAGAGTAAGTACAGGCTACGCACTTGGTCTCTGACCTCTTGATGCGCAGTGTTTTTTTGATAGGCCAAGGTAGGGAAACGATTTAGCGAGTAGGGGAGAGGCCTAAACTGAAATTGGACAGTCTGTATCTAGAACCGGTATTTTCAGAGTAATGGGAAATCGATGGAGACACATATAGTAGAATTAGGATTGGATAGATACAGTGAAAGGAAGCGACTGTTGTGTTGTGTGACATATTCTAATAAATCCGAAGAGACAATTCTATAAAACTGTCATAAGACCAGCTGTGATGTATGGAACTGAATGAGCAGTTAAAAAGAAAGAGGAATACCGAATTCACGTGGAGGATCTAAAACTGCCTATATTACGTTATATTTTCTCGAACGGAGAAAATAACATGCGGTATAATCATTGAGTTATTTACGGGGTTGGCGCCCACATTTCAGTTTTCTGAGTGAGGTTTTTCCTGGTGAATTTCAATATAGGTTTTCTTAACTCTGTTGGGCTAAGGTTTATGATGGTGTCATATATATTGTCGAAACGTCCTTATGCTTCTATTTATATAGTTTCTCCTATTTTTAATGTTTTCTTGTGATTTTTTGCAAACACCGACGTGCATCGTGTGTTCCCTGTATATTCCCTGTATAATGTGATTTGGGCTCATAAGAATTGTTTGTTCCTCTGCCTTAATTTGTCTGTGAAATATACTTAAGACAAATGATTGCATGTGAGAGCGTTTACATACCTGTCTGTAGGTATTGGTTTGCGGTATATGATATCTCATACACTTGTAAGTATATTGTCCACATATTTTATCCATATTTTTGGTTTTTGGCTGACCTTTTGTAGATGTAAAAAACATCTACATCAACCGGAGAGGCAAAAACTACTCGTTGCACCATCTGTTTGCTTATACGTTTAT